CTCCATGGGCTGCGAGCCAACCAAATGCTCGCGGTCCGGCCGACAGAGCAGGGCGAGCTCAAGGTCGCCACGGGCATGGGGCCGTGGAGCTACTCCATCGAGCCCGGCCGCTGCATCGATAACAGCCTGGCGAGAGGGCGCCCGCGGGGCGTCCAGAGCTGGCCCCAGGGCGTGCCGCCCGTGTCCGAGTGGAGCGTCCTCGACGGCAACTGCTTCCACAACGACGACTTGCCGGGGGACTGCGAGCAGGGCGAGAACCCCTGCCTCCTGGAGCTCCGAGAGCTGGGCCTCGAGCTCACCGACGAGCAGAAGGACATGCTCAAACCGCCAGAGGAGCGGATCAAGGATATCGAGTTCCCGCGCGCCCTCGAGAGAAGGATCAAGCTGAGACGGGCAGCTAAGCGCAAGAACAGGTGGACGTCCAACTTCGCGGGCCAGTTTCCAGGCAAGCACGCTCGCAAGTGGCAGCGCGAGAAGGCCAAGACTGGCGGCGAGACCTCGCTCGAGCACCCCAGCAGAGGCGCGGCCAAGGCGAAGCTCACAGGCAGGCCGCCGAATGCGCGCGCGAGCTGCTCCAAGGAGTTTAAGCAGACGAAGCAAGCGGAGAATAACGCCAGGAAGCAGGACAGGGCCACGCGTAAACATGGCCTCCAGGCTTGCGAGGAGCCCCCCTGGCACGGCAAGGTGGCGCGCGTCACCGAGGAGGGCGCCCGCGAGGGCGGGCTCGGCAGGGTGCAGGACGTCTGGCGAGTCCTGGGCACCGAGACGAGCACCGCCTGCGCATCCTCGAGGTGGAGACCGCGGCGATCTTCCAGATCGAGAGCAGCGAGGCTGGGAGGGTCACAGGCACTCGTTAGCTTCCGCCTGGTCCTGCCTAGGGCGGCGGAAGCAAGCGGAAGCTGGCGGGGGGAAAAAGACGCGGAGGCGGAAACCGGCGGAAACAACGCGAAGCGGAAGCAGGCGGAAGCTAACGAGCGCCTGCGAATCCCGAGCGCCACAGGTCACGATCGAGCAGGACTACAAGTTCCGCAGGGCGCAGAAGCTTGACTGGCGCCAGACCAGACAGTCTCGCCGCACCGCGCTCGCCAAGGAGCACGCGATCATGAACTGCGCGCAGATCGCCAAGGGCGACGCCCTCGAGCTGGGCAGCTGGGCACAGTGCGCGCGCTGCTGGGCGAGATCGAGGAGCGCGCGGGCGTCCCCGACACCGCTCTGGCGGTCGAGCCCACGGCGGCCGCCGCCTGGGCTCGAGAGGGCCAGGGCGAGGACGCACCCGCCGCCCAGCAGCCCGAGGAGCAGAAGCACTGGGCCGAGAGGGTCGACAAGGCCCAGCACGCGCTGCTCTGCGTGCACTCCGAGGCGCCCGCGCACCTCAAGGTCGGCGGTTGCTACAATAGCCCCCCCCCCCAGGGTGCCTCCAGCGTTTCGCTCCGGTTCGGAGCGAATCCTGAGGCGCCCTGGGCAAGGGGGCACTTGTAGCAATTCCCGCGAGGTCCCGGGGATCGACGGCGGCGGCGTCGCGGTGGAGCACCGCGACGCCCTCCAGCAGCCGTCCGAGAACGCCAAGCAGGCCCAAAAGGGCCACGTGCGAGCTCCGCCAACACCCCGCGATTTCTGAGGGAAGGTCGGGTTCGCTTTGCTCGGGAGCTGCCGAGCGAAGTGCGCCCCGCCCTCCGTTTCAGAAATCGCGGGTAGGGTTCGCGCGTGGCCTCCCAGAGGCCGCCGCGAGGATCCTCCGCAAGCTCGGCGCCATTGGCCCCGGCGAGAATTGCCCAGCACCGAGCAGCAAACGGTGCCAAGCAGACGGTTGGAGCTGCGGCTTGTGGGCGAGTCGCTGGATCGAGCGCGCCCTGCGCGAGATCCGAGGCGAGGGCCGCCAAATGCCAGCGAGCCTCAACGCCGCGGTCGCTCGAGGCAACGAGTTTATCAGTACATTCCAGGAGGCCATTGACAACGACTCGGCGATGGCCAAGGCCAAGGCCAAGCACAAGTCCAACCCCTGCAAGGACCCCACGGCGGCCGAGCCGAAGTACGCCACCTTCGAGGAGGCAAGCGCCGCCGCCCAGTTTTGCACCGAGTGTCTCCCGCAAGGGCGGCTCCAAAGGATGCCGTGTTTGCGTGGGAGAGTGTGCTTGCGTGGGAGAGTGGTTCGAAGTCCAGCGCAAGAGAGGTTTCTCGGCCAGATCGGCCAAGGACCTCTCTTGCGCTGGCAAAATGTAGGCGCCTGCTTAGCCGCGGGCCTCGAGATCTCTCGAGTCAGCCTTGCGCCGCGCGCCTGCTGGCAAGTAGCCGCGAGCCTCGAGGTCTCTCGAGTCAGCCTTGTGTCGTGCGCCTGGTTAGTCAAGAGCCTCGAGGTCTCTCGAGTGAGCCTTGGGCCGAGCGCCCAGGATCACCATCATCATCAGCATCATCATCATCATCATCGTCGTCACCGACATCATCATCATAAGTTTCGTTCCCCGGGAAAATATGTTATTATCCCGGCAGAACCCCACACTTTATTATCCCGGGGGATGACTATCGCCCGGTATCGGTTGCGACTAGTGTGACGCGGGCGCACCGCTGCGACGCTATGGCGGCACTCGGAGCGTCGAAGAGGAAAGGCGCATCCTTGTCGGCACTGCTGCAGTCCAGCCACTGGGGCGTGGATCTGAGTGCGTGACGACGGCGGGGCAGGGGGACAGCCCGCAGGAAAGCCACCAAAACTGCTAAATCTCACGGGCGGCTGAGGATGCTCGCGCAGGCGGCGGGGAGGTGGCGCGCCGCTGGGAACCTGCAGCGCGCGGGCCCTCAGGCGTCGGCGGTCTATGGCCACGATGTCCACGGGCAGCTCGGTAACCAAATGCCGACGCACAGGAGACGCCCAGGGGCGGCGGCAGGCCCACCCGAGCGAGGCCGCTGCTTGGCCGCGCTCTTGGCCACGAGGCCGCCAAGAGCAGACCCAGGGATTCTTCTTCCTCGGCAATGCGCGTCTCTTTGGCTGTTACCTTGGTTGGAAGAACTGCATTTGAGCAGATCTACAGCATGAGCTTGGCCAGTCATTCTTCAGCGCACGATGGGCCTCAAGCGTGAATTGAGGAGCAGGCGCGTCAGAGGGCCGATGTCCACGGTCATGTCTACCTGGTGGAAACGGAGTGGGAACCAGTTCCGCCAGTAGGATGGGAAGTGCCGAATGAGTGCGTGCACGGAAATTTCTCTTGGAAACTCCGTGGCGACGATGACGCGAGCCTTCATCAGGCTGCGCCCCGGTCAACGACCTGCAAGCCAACGTGGAATTGAAGCAGCGGCGTCAAATCGCATATTGGTATCGCGGAAAGGGCCTCGGGAATGTCGTGGACATGCGATCGTATCGTAAGTTTGTTTTTTGCCTCGTGCAGGCCAAGCGTGATCGGCCGCTTTCAGAGCGGGTCGAGCTAGGATGCGCGTTGCAGGGCTTGCCGAGGGACGGCGCTACATCGCAGGTTGGACGTGCAACAACAAAACAAATGCTCAGTTGCTTCTAGGCAGACTGCGCCGTTACTCCCTGAGGCTGTCGCCGGCCGCGAAGCTTGTCCTCGCTTGTGGATGCGGGGCTTTCCGCGCCGTGGATCTCGGTGCCCCTGCCTCCCTCCACGGAGTCCTGGGCTGGCAGCGGCTTCCACGAAGGCGGCAGTGTCTGGCCTGCGCGGCCGGGCCGCGGTTCCGCCTGGGGGCCTCGTGGCTTTCGGGGGCGCCTCGGGGGGGCACGGGCACCCATGAGTGCAGGCTCCGTAGGGTCGGGCTGGCTGTTTCTCGTTTCTCGTCCGTTGCGCCGCTGTCCCTTGGACCTCACGTGCTTGGTCCTCTTGCCGGTGGTATGCAAACTGTACCTCGCGGAGAGCCCCAGGCCTTCGCATGGGCCATCAGGTTCTGAATCGTCCCTTCCCCTGAAAATGTTGGAAAATACGGGAAGTGGGGGGGGGAAGACAAGAGCCCAGAAAAAAAAACATTGGAAAAGATTGGGAAGCCTGTGATTGTTGTGTGCGTTTATCTGTGTGTCCCAGGGCCCCTTTCAGTAGAGGCCCCCCAGGAGCAAGCCCCCAGGATGCCTCGCCCTCCTCCTCCTCCTCCTCCTCCTCCTCCTTATTGCTGCTGCACGCTCTTCGCGCCCGCGCACGCCCCGACCGCAAGTGCGGGGTCGTGCGGCGACTTTTAAATCCTCCTCCTCCTCCTCCTCCTCCTCATCCTCCTCCTCCCCCTCCTCCTCCTCCTCCTCCTCCTCCTCCTCCTTCTCCTCCCCCTCCTCCTCCTCCTTCTCCTCCTCCTCCTCCTCTTCCTAGTGACCAGGGCGTGCAGGACCGAGTGGTTCAAAAGGGAGTGTCTCCAGCTCCGCCCTGTGGACGGCAGGCGATGCCGAGTGCCCCTGAGGGCAGCAGCTGCACTCGGAGTTGGAGGTGGGTCGGGGCCCCCTCACACGCCTTGGGCCTTGATGTAGCGCCGCTCCCTGGACCTATGGTCTTGTGGCGCGTGCGGCTTTCTGGATCAGGCCCAGGTCAGGGCCTTAGGCAGGCCGTGCACATTGCCAATCTCCAGGGCCCGGCGAGGATATCTCGATCGGCTTGCTCGGGATGTGCTCCTCTATGCTGGCGCCTGGGCTCAGTTGTTTGTTATCTTTAGATGGCGGAAGTCCTGAACATCCTCCTCCTCCTTCTCCTCCCGCCTTTTCTTCCTCCTCCTCCTCCTCCTCCTCCTCCTCCTCCTACCTTCTCTTCCTCCTCCTCCTACCTTTTCTTCTTCCTCCTCCTCCTCCTCCTCCTCCTCCTCCTCCTCCTCCTCCTCCATAATCCTCCTCCTCCTCCTCCTCCTCCTCCTCCCTCCTCCCTCCTCCTCCGCCTCCTCCTCCTCCTCCTCCAGCGAGGTACCAGCAGACTTTTTCAGAGGCTGCGGCTACGGCCGCCATTGTCCTGCCCAAACCGCGTGTGTGCCCCGGGACCCGCGCCTCGATCGCTCGGTCGCGCTTCTCCTCCTCGCAGTCCGCCCAGGCGCTGGCCGCGCCAGGGCCGGCAGCGCCGACGCAGGCGCGGTTGTCGGAGCTCTCGCGCGAGAGCAACGGCACCGTGCCCAGCCGACGACCCTCCAGCGTTGAGGATGCCTCTCCCGGAGGGCGCACCGTGGTCAGGAGCTCGGGGGGCCGCCCCCCAGCGCACAACCCTGGAGCCGCTTCGGCGGGCCCCGTCCGGGGGCCCCCCGTGGCGCTGGCTGGGCGCGGCTCGAAGAAGCCCGCCAGCATGGACCCGCGGGGGTTCCAGGCGTCTGGTCGCGCTCGAGCGGCGGCGCGCGAGGGCGGTGGGCTTCTCAGGGGCCCTCCTGCCGCCTGCCTTCCGGGGATCCATCCTGGCAGACCCCCGCGCCCTGTCCGAGAAGCCAGCCGCCCTCTGGAAAGCCGCGCACCCTGCCACGCCGCCAAGCACCAAGGCCGCCCACATGGGGCCAGGGCAGACGGGGTGGGAGTCGGAGGATCGCGCAGCACCGCCGAGGCATCGGCGATGCGGGACGGTCCGGAGCCCGATTGCCTCCTCCTCCTCCTCCTCCTCCTCCTCCTCCTCCTCCTCCTCCTCCATTTCCCGACATCGCTGATGCATCGGCGATTCGGCGCGCGCAGGGGGGCAGGGGTGGCGCGGAGGACGCACGGGGGTCAGATGCCTCCTGGGGGCCTTCTCGAGTCTCGGAGGGCAGCGTGGCCGCAAGAGAGGCTCGAGGGCCAATCCGTGGGGCCACCCTCGAGGGCAGATGTTCTGAGGCCGTCCCCAGCCAAACTGCACCCTGCGCATCGTATAGAAAGTGACGCGGGGAATCCCCGAGAGCGCCTGTGAGCGCCTGGAGCTTGGGGCTGCGGGACCCTCTTCGTGGGTGCTGCTGCATGCCATACGGAGGGGCTTCGAGGGGGCCCGAGGGCATCCCACCCAGTGCCTGCGGTACGGTGGCGGACGGTGCAGTCCTCTGTCTGGCTCCCCTCGCTCCTTTGACACAGTCAGCCCGCACAGTGAGGATGAGCAACTTTCCAGGGTGACCCTTTTGCATCCTTCCCCCTCGGCCCACCCTCGGCCGCTCTCGCTGGCCGCGCACCGGCCCGCAGAGTGTCGACATGGCCCTCCACGGCCTTTGCATCCTCATCGTGCGTCCTCGCAGTGGAGGCCCATGCCAAGAAACACCCTGCCTGCCACCAGGGTGCCCTGGGTTTCTTGGGTTGCGATGGCTTTGCGATGGAAAGCGTGACGTTCCCGCACCGAGAACCAATGCACGTCCTGGGGTGTCAGGGTTGGGCTTCTTGCGGGGAAGGTTCCTTGGGGTCGGGCCCCCACTGCAGGAAGGACCAGTCGGCCGCTCCGCTCGCGCGACCGAGCGCCAGCCCGTGCCGGGCGCTGTCGGCAGGCTCCTTGTCGATGGTCAGCGCCGAGCTCTCCGCTCCTGGGCTTGAGCTTCTGGGGGCGGGGCGGGCAGGGGCGGTCAAGCAGTGGCGAAGCGTCCTGGCGTGCCTATAGCCCTACCAAACAAACAATGTTCTAAGAACCTTTTGTGGTTTCCAACCAATATTCTTAGAACATTTCTGGCGGGGACTGTCTTGCTTTATCAGATCGGGCTTATGTTCTAAGAATATTGTTTGTGATATTAGAACATTTAACATTTCTGGGTTCTAAGAACACTTCGTGGTAGGATTATAGAAATGCCGGGACGACCGGTTCCTGCTCAAGGCGGAGGGCGGCGGCGGGGGGGCGACCGTTTTTTGTTGTTGGGGGGCATGAACCCGGCGCGACCCGACTTCGGGTTGGGCTTCTTGTGGGGAAGGTTCCTTGCGGCCGAGCTCCTGCTGCAACTCGTGCGGGTGGACTGCAGCACTCCCTTTGAGCGGGTGCTCCCTCCTGCACCCCCCGGAGCGCCGTCCGGGTGCCTCTTCCTCCTCGTCCAGGGGTACGGTGTTCCAGCCTCTTTTAGTCTGAAATCGGGCCTGTCCCTCTTCAGGAGGAATATTCCGAAATAGTTAAGCATACCAGAGATAACCCCAATCAGAGGATGGTTTGGAAATTTGTGATATGATTGTTGAGATCGATTGCGATATCGATAGTGGAGTTGATAGTGAGGACGATTGTAAGGTCGATCGTGAGACTGGTAGTGAAGTCGATTCAATGAGATCGGTAGCGAGATCGATCGTGAGATCGTTCGCACGATCTATAATGAGATCTATTGTGAGATCGATAGTGGGATCGATTGTGAGATCGACCGGGAGATCGATTTGTTGTTCACACAGGAGGACAGGAGAGGGAGGAGCAGCAACACAACAGCGGGGCAATGTCAGGTCAAGAAGACTGGTGTATAGTGTGTAATGCCTGTACCCATCGCTGGCGTCAAGCCTTACCGCCATGGTGGCTATGCACGCGGCGTGCAGGCCCAGCCTGCTAAAGACAGCGTGCGAGCGTCGAACGAACATTGAAACGGTCTGTCTCCCTGGCGGCCCTCCGCTAGGAGACTCGAGCCTAAATTCCAGCGGAGGTCGAGTTGCCAGTTGCAAGTTCCCGCGAACACCGCTGCATGAAATGCCCCCTGTCTGCACAGCATGCCTATCCAGAAGATTTCCGTGCACCCATCAGCGACCTACGGAGAGGGAGGAGGAGGAGGAGGAGGAGGAGGAGGAGGAAATGGAGTCGTGGCGGAAACTGGATTGAAACTGGGGCGGCGTATTTTCACAGACCTCAGATGTTGCCAGGCGCTCACAAAACACCTGGGCTGACAATGGTCGGCACGCGCGCCTCGCCCGCGTCCGCGTCCCCGCCGTCGCCATCCGTGCCCTGCATGAGGGTCTCGGCGTCGCCTCGGCGCTTGGCCATCGTCGTCATAATCATGCTAGCACGGCGCCGCGCCAGTGCCACACCAATGTTCGCCCGCGCCGCGCGCAGGAGATCGCTGTAGTCGCGGATGCCATGCTTCCGCGCAGCTCTCCTCGCGAGCGTCTCCAAGACTCGGGTTGTCGCCGGGTGCTCCCGCGTGGAATACATGGCGGGGATGTACTGGATCCCCGAATCATGGAGGGCTTGCAGGTGCGCCCCGTAGAAGTCCAATTTCCGCTGCCTCACCGCCTCGCAGCAGTCCTCGCCCGCGCAGTGGGCGTGCGGGGACGTCACGCCGACGTCAATGGCAGATCTCCAACCAGTCTGCGCCGACAGCGTGTAGATGTCGGCTGGCCGAAGCGCTGGCGCATCAGGGGAGGAGGAGGAGAGGTCGCCAAAGCCCTTAGGCTCCACGCCCACCAACAAGCATTGCCCAGAGCCCACAGCAGCCGCTGTTAAGTAGGGGCAGGGGGCCTTCTGTGTTCAGGGGCCACATCCGCAGCGGTACCGACAGCGGGTCCGGTCCAAAATGCTCAGCACATGTTCCCAAATCCCCAGAGATCCAACGTATTGAAAACATCAAGACGAAGGTTTTTTGCTATTTTCGGCCCTCGGTGGCCTTTGCCGGGCCTCGGGACCGTCAAAAAACGACTCGGGATGAAAAACCGGCCCTGGGGAAAGGGTCGGGACTTCCGGGGACCCCGTATTGAAAAATTCGGCGTCGAATCTTTGGGTCAGTGTTTGCACTGAAGGGGTCCTAGCGGAAGTTGAAAGATTTGGCGAAAGTGTCCCGCCGATTTTGGTGGCCGGCCGGGTTCCCAGGTTCCCAGTCTTGGGTTCCCGGGTTCTTGGTTATTGGTTCCGGGCCAAATTCGGTGGGTTCTGGGTTCCGGGATTCCCAGTTGATCTCCTTCCTTCTCGATCAAGCCATCCATTGATTGGGGTTTTCCTCTTGTGTGTAAAATGTTGTCGGTCGTCGTACCCTATCTTTCCGTACCATTTCGATCGTGCCAGATTTTCCAGTGATCGGCGTCTCATCAGGAGTCTTTGTTTGGTGGTCCAGGGGGCGGGTGTGGGCCCCCAGAGGCGGAAAATGGCCGCCCAGATAGGGTCGAGGTAGATGGGCTCGGAGGATCGCGCCGCATCGTCGATGCATCGGCGACGTCGGCGTGGAAACTATCGTGCTGCACGTCGAGTCGTATGGAGCCGCATCGCCGATGCGGCGCGATCCTCAGAACCCCTCGCTTCCGCACTAGTTCTGCCCCCTCTAAGGGCGTACCGTTGTGGGTGGTGGCTCCTCCGGCTCACTGGCCGTCACCAGGCACTTCTCTCTTTTTTTCCGCGGCTTGCGGGATGGGCCGCTCGCCAGCCCCTCGCCCTCTCGGTTGTCTCCCCAAAGCGACCCTCACCCCAACATACTAATACTATGTGTGCGTCCCCCCCCGCAGGGGCGACGCGTGCACCGAGAGAACTCAGAGTATATGCATCGTGGCGGTCGCTTTCTGGCCAGCCACACCGCTCGGGAAACGACCTATTACAAGATGGGTATATTGGATGCTACGGTCGGACGCCCGCCTCCAGGGAGGACATATAGTACTAGTGTGTCTCTGCGCGTCCCACTCCAGGCGATCCTCCGACCCCACCTCCGGCCTCATCCCGACCCCCGCCTCCTCCCGACCCCACCTCCGACCCCATCCCGAACCCACCCCCTCCGACCCCACCTTCTCCCACTCCAGGCGGCCTCCTCCTCCGACCTCGTCCGACTTCGTCTGCGACGCCGAGAGCCCCCGCCCCCCCGCTCCCCCCCCCCCCCTCCCCAAGGAGCGTGCCGAGCGGCCAGAGCCCGCTCGGCTGCTCGAGCCAGCGGACTGGCGACGTGACGGCAGGAGCCCACGGGACAGCGAAGGCTACCCTCGCTCCCCCCCTCCTCCCCCTCCCCTCCTCGTCTTCTCGCTCCTCCTCCTCCTCCTCCTCTCCTCCTCCTCCTCCTTTTCCTCCTCCTCTTCTTCCTCCTCCCCCTCCCCCTCCTCTTCTCCCTCCTCCTCTTTTCCTCCTCCTCCTCCTCCTTCCTCCTCCTCCTCCTCCTCCTCCTCCTCCTCCTCCCTCCTCCTCCTCCCCTCCTCCCCCTCCTCCTCCCCCCTCCCCCCGTGTTCCTCCTCCCCTCCATCCCTCCCTTCCTCCTCCCCTCCTCCCTCCCTCCCCTCCTCCTCCTCCTCCTCTCCTCCTCCTCCTTTCTCTCCTCATCCTCCTCCTACTCCTCCTCCTCCTCCTCCTCCTTCCTCCCTCCTCCTCCTCCTCCTCCTCCTCCTCCTCATCCCCTCCTCATCCGCCCGTGTTTTCCTCCCCCTCCTCATCTTCTCCTCCTCCCTTCTCCTCCTCGTCCTCCTCGTCCTCCTCTGTTCCTCCTCCTCCTCCTCCTCCTCCTCCTCCTCCTTCTCCTTCTTCTCCTCCCTCTCTTCCAGAAAGTTCTCGCCCTTTGTTCCGTGTACGCTGTTCAGCATTCTATAGGATAGGCCGACCCCATAATCCGGAATCTCCAAGTACGAAATCGAGGGCACATTCATTCTGTATGGGACCACCCCGAGGAACGGACTTCGAAGGTGAGTTGCAGCGCACGGTCACCACCATAAGAAAATCGTGCCGCGCCAAAGAGCAAGCCTCAAGAAGAAGTGGGGTACATGAGACGAATGCCATTGCCCAGTTCGTCCACAGCAACACCTTCACAGTGTTGCTCGGTTCTCTGATCGTCTGCAGCGCATTGCTAATCGGGCTTGAGACCCATGCGTTTTCCAGCAAGGCTGACCAATGGTCAGACTCGAAAGAGGTGTCAATGGCGTTCTCTGGACTGAATTACATCATCACCTTCTTATTCACGATGGAAATGGCGGTGCGACTGTATGTATTCAGGCTCGATTTCTTCTTCACCGAGAGATGGTGGAATTTGTTTGATCTCGCCGTCCTGATCTTGGCCCTCGTCGAGGTTGCTATGGAGCTCGTTGTCACCTCGTTCGGCGAGTCGAAGGACAGCCTCTTCGACAGCGGTGGAACCGCGAAGATGATGCGCCTCGTCCGCCTCACTCGGCTCCTCCGCCTCGTCCGCACGTTCCGCCAGCTCAAGCCCTTGCGGATGTTGGTTCGCTCTATCATGGCCGCCGGGAAGTCTGTGTTTTGGGCATTCTTGTTGCTCATCATCATCATCTTCTCGTTCGGGGTCATCCTGACGCAGGCCGTGACAGAACACACTGTGGGCGGCACGCAGGTCGAGGATGAGAATCTGATCTCGTACTATGGGGACCTCGTTCGGTCGATGATGAGTCTCTGGATGGCCGTCTCTGGGGGCATCAGCTGGATCGAGCTCACCGAGCCACTGGAGGGAACCGGCAACAGCGTATGGACGATGATGTTTTTGGTGTACATTTTCATCGTAGCCCGCTGCCTGCGGCAAACCCCGCCGCCGTGCCAGTGCAGCAGTGCTGCAGGTGTACGAGGTCTAGTTCAAGGCATGCTATCCAGCGTAGCGCCCTGCCTGGACTGGCGCGGGTCTTAATCAGGAGGGGAAATGGCACACAGACACAAGTAGTCGGCGACTCCCAGGAAAATATATCGGAAAACATGGGAGGGGGGGGGAAGTCGTAAACCCAGAACATATGGGACACTATGGGACATCATGGGATTTGTGTATATTTATGTGTGTTTCTCTGGGCCCCTTTACTTAAGCACCCCGTCCCTATCCGTAGCCGAGTGCTCCTTCTCCGCTCCTTCTCCCTCTGCTCCCTCTTCCCTCTTGGAGGCATCTTGGAGGCTCCTCGTTGGCTTATTCGAGGCGTCTTGGGGCCTTCTTGGAGACCGGTGGTGGGCCCTGTGAGCTCCCGTCGATGTTTCGGGCCTGCCTTGGCCGCGATGCCTCCACCAGGCTCTTTCGACGAGGCTCCGTTGAGACATCTCAGTTGACATCTGGGCGGGTCCTGGGGCCGTCTGCAGCATCTCTGAGCTGCCTCGGGCAGTCTTGGGGGGGGGCTCTAGGGCAGTCTTAGGGCCGTCTCGGTGGCTTTGTGGGTGATCTCCGAAGCGTTTCCCGAGACGGTCTGACGCCGAGAATATTCGGGTGCGAAGCAAAAACATGTTCTGCGTTCTCCCATGTTTCTGCCTGTTCGGGCCTTACTGGAGGTATCTGCGTACGTTTCTTGGGGCACTTGGGGGACATCCAGGACCCTCTGGGCACCCGGGAGGACGGACGTTCATTTTTGGTTGGCCGTCGGGTACTTTGAAGCCGCGTGAGGACCATTCTGTTGCCGCTCAGACGCCAAGTGGGCGGCGGCCCTAGAGAAACTACGGAAGCCCTGCCAGACGACTGGTGAAGCACCGTAACACTCCACCGTCGTGCAGGCACGGTGGCGGATATTTCTTCATACGAGAACATTGAAGTGGAGCACTCTGACGATGGAGTAGGTCTTCGAGATCTTCGAGACCGCTTGACTGTTCAGTACGTTTTTCCACCACACTTCTGGGTTTCTCTCCCGAGAGTTTCGGCCAGGAGTGGGTGGATCACTTTCGCAGCTGCCGAAACTGCACAGGACCGCTCCAGGATGCTGATCGCGCTGTGTTCAATGGGCATTGGTGTGGTGAGCCTGGTTGTGGATGCAATGCTTCATGATGCAGCGCCTACTGATCGTGCTGGAGCTCGCCGTGATCTTAAATGATTACCAGGTGTGGGCCTACTCCACCGTCAGAGTGTTCTACTTCACCGTTCTCTCGTACTCAACGTTGTGACAGGCGCCAGGGGAGGACGAATCGCCCCGACCCCCAGAGTTGGCGACAATTGAGCAGCCATGGTCGTGTTCCGAAGAGTCCTGCCATGTTCGATTCCTTCCTAAGGCGCGTTTTCTGAAGGGCTTCGCATGCAAGGGTGTGTAAGGTGGGGGCGTTCGTTAAGGAATGTGCCCAGAATGATTCAGGCCCTGGAGGATTCCTTCTCTGATTTGGGCGGCGACGACATCCGTGGCCAATCCACGAATGGAGTTCCGCTGACTTCCAGACCCTGGATTCTTTATCCACTGGTTCCTCCGTAGACGCGCTAACAGCGGTGTAGGTAACGGCGATGTAGGTTTCGGCATTGTAGGTGGAATTACTTCGTGGCCAGACCAATTGTAGGACATCGTGGCTCGTGCTTTCCTACAATTCGCTGCGTCGCTTCCGCTCGATATCATTCGCACATTTGAGATGTAGGAAAGTGTGGTTCGCGAATTCCTGCAACTTGTTCTGCGCGAGCTCGGCGTCACAGAAGCACAGAAGTCGGATTTCCAACATCGCCGCTAACCAACATCCCCGTTAGCGCGGCCTTGGCTCCTTATCCTTGGCATCGCTCGGACGTGTGCATTTTTCCTTCGGCGAGGACCATCGAGGAGCATCCTTGATCATTTGGCGAGAAAGCCACGCGCGAAACCGGAAAAAAACACAGGGAATGGACGTCCGAGCGATGGCCAGTATCCAATGCCCTCACCGTACTTCAGCAGGCACGTCACAGCACAAAATCGGCGTGCCGCCAGAGCAGGCGGCCCCGCGGAGGCCCCTTGGTCCACCGCGAGGGCCCCTGGGGACACACAGAACGTCTGGGGCATCACTCATCGTGTGCTCCTCCCCCTACCCTTTCTGTTTCCCTCCAGGGTGTGGTCCCACCCTCTCGATCTGGACCTGCTTGTTCCCCCTTGCCATGTTTCCCCCTCCTGCTCTTTCGGCCAGGTGCCCTTCGAACCCTTTCCAGTGTTCCCTCGCACCCTGTCTTGTTTCCCTCCACCCTTTCTTCCTTTCCCCCCCGGCGGGGGCGAGGCAGGCCTGCGCGGGGTTGCCATTCTGGGGGCTCGAGTGGCCGACGTGCTCCTTTGTTTTCCCCTCGACTTGTTTCTCTTTTCCGCGACCCTTTCTTTTGTCCTCGACGCTTTCATGTTTTCCTTCTGTTCCTCCCTGGTCGTGGGGGGTGGAGGCCCTGTGGCGCCGGACCTGGAGGGTTTGTGGGGCCGGGGGGACTCGGGAGGCCAGGGGAGGCCCCGGAGGGCGCCCGTGAGTCGCTGGAATCGACGCAGCGACGGCCGTGACGACGACGACGACGACGACGACGACGAGAACGACGGCCGTGACGACGATGGCCATGACGACGCCGACGAGGACGAGGGCGTCGACGATGACGTCGCCGCCGCAACCATCATCATCAGCAGCAGCAGCTGCACCATCATAATCGTCATCGCCGTCACCGCCCCGGAGCGGCAATGGAAGTGCTTAGCAGCCACGATTCTCGACCAAAGGCGGCGCCATGTGTGCGCACGGCCACGCAACGAGCGCTGTCGTCTGGCGCAGGCACGCGGTGGCGGCCCCTGTCGGGCGGTCGCGCGCGTGACGTTTTGTGTGTATTGCCCCCTGGACTTAAGTCGGGCCTGTCCCCCTACAGGAGGAGTATACACAAATAGTCAAAACATAGTACGGAGACTATTGTTTGAGTATTTGGGGGCATCTTTTGAGCATTTTTTGCGTTTTTTTTATTTTTCGTCCAAAATCCCCCTGTAGGGGGACAGGCCCGACCTAGTCCTGGATTTGCGGGCCTCACAGAAAGGGCAGGCTGGGGGCCCTGACGGCGGACGGGCGGACCCCAATGGGCGGTTCGGGTCGGGCGGGCGATGCGTTCAATTGCTCCGCTTCGCTGCTGTAAAACCACTAATCGGGCGGGCGTTTCGGGTCGGACGGGCGGACCCCGACGGGCGGGTCGGGTCGGGTGGGCGGGACTTGAAAGTATGCACCCCCTCTGGAGCAAAGTTGCTACTCGGTCGGTCGAGCCGGGTCGCGCGGGCGGGCCGGAACGGGCGGGGCGGGGCGGGCGGGCGGGCGGGCCCTGGTGGGCGCTTCAGGCAGGCGGGGCGGGCGAACCTTAACGGGCGGGTCGGGTCGGGCGGACGGGCGGGCCCCAACGGGCGGGTCGGGCGGGCACTTTCGGGCGGTGCTGGAGCGCACGCCGTTGGAAGACACTCGCCCCCCGTGTGGCTCGGTGCTATGAGCCAGCCACGGTTCTTGCCCCCAGCGGCACCCACTGCACCGCCACTGGGGGAGGCGCGGCTGCGCAACTCTATCACTGAGCTGAACTTGCTCGGAGACGTTTGGCTCGGATGCCTCCTAGGTAAAACCCCTGTTCGGCGGGCGTTTCGGGTCGGGCGGGCGGACCCTAACGGGCGGGCCGGGTCGGGCGGGTCATTGAAGTACGCAGCCCCGTTGGGTAACACCACCAATCGACCGGGCGGGTCGGACCGGGCGGGCGGACCCTCATAAAAAGGAAGCACTCGCAATGTTTGGATTATCTTATCTATGGATATATCTATACATATGTATATGTGTATATATATAAAAACAGTACCTGCACACATGCAAGAATAAAAAATAAACATACCTCCATATTGTCTATCTAACTATATATACACGTATCGAATATATATATACACACATGTATATATGTGTATTCTCATAACTATATAGTTACATATATATGTGTATCTAGATGTGCATATAATGTACATCTAATTATCAACAAACATATAGCTGTGTCTATATATACACACACCTATATGCATCCATATTCCTTTCTATCGATATATCTCTATATAGCTATCTCTCTATTTATCTATGTGTAGGTTTTGGCTTGGTGTCCGGGGGCCCCTCCTGCTCGTTGTCGTGGGCCTCCGGGAGGCCTGGGGCCCCGCAGGGATCGATCGCGTGGCGGCTGCAGCCGCCAGAGGCGAAAAAGTCGACTGCACGGAAGAGTGACCCTTCGCCAGAGTGATCTTTCGTGCGGGCCCAAGGGTACTGGGCCTGTTTTCCACCACCACCACCACCATAAGTTGGAGGGGGGAAGGAGGTGAAGGATGAGAAGGAGGAAGAGGAGGAGGGCCCCCTCCCCCTCCTACTTATGGTGGTGTTGGTGGTGAAAAACAAGCCCACCAAAGGGGGCGCCCAAATCGCCGAGCGCGATGCGATAGTCGCGTCTTGCGCGCTTGTGCTTGGTTCCCCCCGCGGCCCCCCCAAAGAGCCGCTCGCCAAAGGTCGCTCGTGCCCAGAGCACTCCTTGCGTGCAGCCGAAGGAGGGGCGCGGTCACCTCTCGCTCCAAGCCGATGCGACTCGAGGCCTGCGTTGAGCCAGTGCAACAGCGGCCGGGCCACCGTTCGAGGAGGGAGAGGCGAGGACAGGGGGAAGGCTCGGTACAGATCGGGGGGCCCTCAAGGGCCCGGCATCCCGGGGCGGCACATCAGCGCCCAGGATCGGGCCCCAGACCAAAAGGGGCAGTCAGAGGAGGAAAAAGGTACCGACACCGCTGCCTTTGCCTCGTGTGCCCCTTGCTGGGCCTCCTGGGAGGCCCTCGTCGCTACCGCTGGATTCGCCTCGCCATTCTGGTCAGAGCGCACCCGGGGAGAGGTCCGGGGAGCAGCGGTGTAGGTACCTTTATATTTCCCCAGGCAGGCCCAGGGACAAACACGACGCGCATATGCATGCAGCTGCCAGCATGCTGCCAGCCCTGCACGCCATGGGCGCGTCGGGCGTACGGGTGGGGCCCTCACGGGGCCACTCGGGCGAGCGGGTCGTGCGAAGCCTACAGTCGGGGCGCTGAAGAAGGAACCCTTTTCGTTGGAGAGGGGCTCGTTAGGTTTTCTATGGGAAAGCGAAGACTAACTTAGGGGAAAAAGGGGCCTCGTTCCTTCTTTAGGGTTTCTTGGGTCAACGCCCCGACTGTATCGGGCGGGCCGGGTCGGGGACGTGGGAGTTGTGAGCCCCCGTGGGGTGAAGCCAGTGCTGTTTTGAGGTACCTTTTCTGCTCATCCATGTTGCTTACACATGTGCATGGTCTTGTCTTTCTGCCGATTTCTCCCTAGCTTCCCCTCACGCTTCACGTACCTGGCGCCACGGCGGCCGCCTGCGCGACGCCCTAGCCGGCGACAGCTGCAGGTCCGACGTCCGATGTCCGATGTCCGTCGGGTGCAGCCCGTGCTCGGGCGGGCGGGCCGCTCCGCACACGAGAGCCTGGAGCCCCCCGCGGCGAGCACGGAGGGCGCCGGGCACGGCGGAGGTCGGGCGCGCGGACACCCTGCCGGGCGGGTCGGGCGGGCCGGCGGACCCCAACGGGCCGGGGCAGGCCAGCGGGTCGGGCGGAGCCAGATGGGACGGTCCGGCGCTGGCGGCCTCGTCCTCGCCGTTGTCGTCGTCGACGGAGGCGAGGACGGCGGCGACGATGAGGAGGAGAGAGCCTCGACGACGACGGCTGTATCGACGAGGGCGACGACGACAACGACGACGACGACGACGACGACGACGACGACGACGACGACGACGACGACGACGACGACATTTCGGAGGTTTTTCGAGAGTTTCTGGAAGTTCTCATCCCCACGGCTGGACGTAGCTCGAAGAGCTGGCCAGGGTGGGTTGGATGGCGATGGCGATTTGGGCCTTGGTGCCTCTCCAGCGCCGTCCTGGCCCGCCCCCCCCTCCCAGCCCCAGGGTCGACACCCCTACCCCCCCCCCCCCGAGGGAAAACGCATTGAGGGCTGCACCCCCCCGCAGGGAAGCGTCAGAAAAGGTGCGTTGGGCGTCGCGCAAGGGGAGGGGGCGATCAGTGGCGGGGCAGCGTGGGCTGCAGAACAGGGGCCCTTCAAGGTCCCGAAGGCCTAAGGGGCCTGGGGCGATCAGTGGCGGGGCAGCGTGGGCTGCAGAACAGGGGCCCTTCAAGGTCCCGAAGGCCTAAGGGGCTTTTCAGGGCCCCAAAATTGGGGCCTAAGGCCCGAGAAGTGCACCTTTCTTCCCCTCCTGGTTTAACGTGGGAGTCTCAAGGTGTGGAAACAAAACCGTACTGCGCCGAGACTAGCGTCGCCTGCAGGGCTCGTCAGTCCGCCAACGAGCCGCGTATGGCAGCAGCGCGCGAGCGAAGATACGGTGGCAATAACATCAAGATGCGGGCGCCCCCCCCCGCTATTATGCGACGCCCAAGTGCGAGGGAAAACAAAGGTGACGAGGGACACAGAGAAAGGCTTCCCCGAAGCTCTGGGGAATCCAGGGGGGGGGCTCCGCGATCGACGACGAGCGACTCCCAAGAGATGTCTCGTGGCGAGGTCTCCTGCGCACGTGTCGGCTGTGCGAGCAAGGGCGCCCTCGAGGGCGCGAAGTCAGTCGCGTTTCGCGCCTCGCGTTTCGGCTCCGACTCCTCCTCGTCCTGCTCCTCTCCCCCGAGGGGCGGCGCGAGAGCGCGGAGGTTTCGTTCGTGCTCCGCGCGGCGCGAGAGAGCGCGAAGTTGGGTGCCTTGGACAGTGAGGGTGGCGATCCTGCCTGCTGCTGAGGTCAGGCGATCGCAAACGTGGATCAAGGGGGCGTGGATCAGCGACGGGGCCCGTTTCCATGTGGAATCGCGTACTTCCGCCGCCGAACGAGGCGACACCGGCCGCGTTCTGGGGAGGGCACCTCCCCCGATCCATGGATTTTGGCGACCGCGCCAAATCCATGGATCGCTAATCCATGTTTGCGCGCCCCCGATGAGGTGTCTTCTGCCAGAATGCCATCGAGGGGGCTGCCGCAGATCTGGACCTGACCCTCGACGCCCAGATGCGGGAGAAGCAGGTGCATGTCAACCGCCTGGCGCTCCTCTTCCACGAGATGAACGAGAACACCGAAGACAAGTCAACCAGCCTCTCCTCATTCCTCCTCTCCCCTCTTCCCCCCATTATCCTCCTCCGTCCTCCTTCCTTCCCTCCTCCTCCTCCTCCTCCTCCGTCCTCCTTCCCTCCTCTTCCCCCCTTCTCCTCCTCTGTCCTCCTTCCTTCCTTCCTTCCTTCCTTCCTTCTTCTCCTCCTCCTCCTCCCCCTCCTCCTCCTCTCTTCACGTTGATCAGACTTCAAGCTCGAGGCTCACGGCGATCGTCCTCATTGTCGTCCTCCTCCTCCTTTTCCTCCTCCTCCTTCTCCTCCTCCTTCTCCTCCCCTTTCTCCTCCTCCTCCTCCTCCTCCTCCTCCTCCTTCTCCTCCTCCTCCATCCCTTCTCCATACAGATCACATTCCTCCCTCTCGCACCCCGAGGCTAGTTTTTGGGGCGGACCAGGCGTTTCGCCTGAGACTTCCTCACCATTTATGATTCTGAAGCTTAAAAATGACAGCAGCTTCACAGATGGGGGGCGGGTGGCTTTCAAAATGTGGCTCTCGCCCTAGCGCCGCGCACATTAGCTCTAACAAATTGCAAGAGCTTCACGGATTGAGGGCGGGTCGCTTTCAAAATGTGGCTCTCGCCTTAGTGCCGCGCACATTCGTTTTAAAAATTTGCAAGAGCTTCACGGATTGAGGGCGGTTCCTTTTCTGTGGTTTTCGCCTCAGCGCCGCGCACATTCGTTTTCGAATTTTGCAAGGGTTTCACGGACTGAGGGCGGTTCCTTTTCAACGTGTGGTTTTCGCCTTCGCGCCGCGCACATTCTTCTTCAAACTTTGCAAGAGCTTCACGGGTTGAGGGCGGTTCCTTTTCAAAATGTGGTTTTCGCCTTTGCGCCGCGCACATTCGTTTTCAACATTGCAAGAGTTTCACGGATCCCCATGATCAACGTACCAGAAAATGCGTTTTGGAAGGACTCAGGATTATGCGGGTGCAGCAGTTGTGTTGCTTCGCGGTGTTGAAGTCCCCAAACTGGCGCTCTGGCACGATTCCGGGACGTCAAGACGCAGCATTCAGGTTGATACGTGGAGTGGAAATCCTGGGAATAATGTTTTGGCATGCTTCAGAATATTCTAACGGCTGTCTTCAAATGAGGCAGTTCCCTCAATGAAAATGAACCGTTGTGGGGCTTATGAAGAGGGAGCTTGGAGGGAGGGATTCCAACATCGTTGATGACCCTTCGTTTTACACTGGTCCTCCTCCTCCTCCTCCTCCTCCTCCTCCTCCTCCCGTTCCTCCTCCTCCTCCTCCCTCCTCCTCCTCCTCCTCCTCCTCCTCCTCCTCCTCCTCCTCCTCCTCCTCTTCCAATAGGGATATGGAGCTGACGTTCGACGAGCTCCAGGCTCTGCTGACCAAGCCCAAGGTGCAGTCGTGGTTCAGATCCCGCCGCGCTGCCGCGCGAAACCACCACCGCCGCGCCCCGGCGGGCGGTCCACGGGTCCGCCGCAGTCTGGGCGTTGTTGTACTCGGAAGCCAGTTTTAACCATATGTTTGCAAAGCGTAGTTAAGACTAGTTAACCTGTTTTTTTTAAAGATCGTAAATTTCAAAGCAAATAGTTAGAAATCGTAATGGTAGGTCTTGTTTAACACAGTTGTTCTAATTATCTTGTTGTTTATGAAAAATCCGCGCGGAGCGCCAACAGTTTGTGAGTGCGACGTTTTTCTTATTCTATGCAAGCTCGTTTGACGTAGGCCTCCCAGATGCGGTCGAAGCAGATGGGGTCGGAGGATCGCGCCGCATCGCCGATGCATCGGCGATGCGGCTCGATCTGGAGCCCCCGAGTTTCTCCACGCTGGCGTCGCCGATGCATAGCCGAAGTCCCCGATGCATCGGCGATGAATGGCCGATGCATCGGCGATGCGGCGCGATCTTCCGACCCCATCTACTTCGACCCCTATCTGGGAGGCCTCTACTTGATGCCGCTGCCTGCCCTGCTCTGTCGTCGCGGCTTCCGCCGTTTGTCTGCGCAGATCTTCCGCCCTTTTGCGTTGCTTGTGCGGGGAGTTCCGCCATACTCTCTCGCACCGCTTGGGGTGCATTTCCGGCGCATTGTCAAGTCGGGGAACGTCCGCCAGAGCACGGCGGATCCAGTGTCAGAGAGTGCGTGCAGCCAGAGAGGCTGGTGGGCGGGGTCGGAGAGCAGACGCCGCCTGGGCCCCGCTGCCCCGGGAGGAGGGCCGCGGTTAGGAATTTTGGCTTGGCGTGTCGCTCCGCCGGGTTCTGGCCCGCCGCGCGTCGGTCGGGAGCCTGGAGACGGGGGTCAATGCAAACGGGGGTCAGCCAGAGCGCCTGATCTTGCAGGATCCTGCAGGGCCAGGGTAGCATTGACCCAGGCTTGGGCGCAGGGTCCTGCAGGATCTTGCAAGATCCTTCGCATTGACCCGTGTTTGGGCGCAGGATCTTGCAGGATTCTGCAAGGCCTGACTGGTCCGGGTCTGGATTAACCTGGATCAGAAGATCTCCGAGTCGGTGCGGCACGCTAAGTATCCATGTTCCCGTTCCTCATAGGAGGAAGAGGTACCCATACCTTTTACGTACACTTCGCTCGTTTTCCCTTTGGGGGCCTCCTGGGCGGCCCTCGTCGCCATCGCTGGATTCGCCTCGAAATCATGGTCAGAACGCACCCTAGGAAAGGTCTGGTGAGTCGCGGTATCGGTGCCTCTTGGTTTCCCCATCAGCGCGTGTAGGTGTGAAGGTTGGTGCAGTAGAGACTGTAGGTTAGGAGCAAAACGCCATTCAAATGCATCCTCGGTTTTGCTTTGTTTTGCTAGTTTTTCTGTTCATGTGTATAATTGTGCATGCAAATCTCTCTGTCGGCAGGTCCAGTCATGCAGCCATCGTGGCAAAGCAGGTGGTAAATCAATCAATCAACAAATCAGCGCCCCGAGCTTTCTCGAGCCCTCCCGCCCCGCGGAGCGGAGCCACACGCTGTCCGCTCGCACGGCGTGGCGTGTCGCTGGGGCCGCCGCGGCGACAGGCTTGGGTCCAAGGCCCGGCCGGGACAGCCGAGGCACACATCGGAGCCGAATGGGGCACACGGGGTGAAAGGAAGGGCGCGGCGGGGTCAGGATGGGTGGCGAGGCGAGCCCCGGGGGGGGGAGGGAGAGAGTGAGAGGGGGCGGACCTCCTCAGAAGGCCCGGAGGTCCCTCGGTCTCGCGCTTCCACAAAACTACCGCCCCGTTTGCACGATACCATTGTTGTGCAAGCTCTTCAGCCGACTATTGCACAACAGGCTACAACCGACGCTTGACTCACACCAGACTGCCGACCAGGCGGGCTTCAGACCGGGGGGGAGGGAGAGAGTGAGAGGGGGCGGACCTCCTCAGAAGGCTCGGAGGTCCCCCGGACCTTTGAGACATGTCCCTTCCCCGAAGACACGGACAGTTTCCCAGAAGGCGCGAGGGTTTCTGAGAGGTCACGCCGCCTTCTGAGAATCAGGAGGGGGACAAAACACACGATCACGATCACAATCAATCGTCGACTCCCGGGAAGAGATGGGAAAAGGTGGGACGTGGGGGAGGGGAAGACAGACACCCAGAAGATCTGGGAGACTGATGGGGGATCCTGGGATCCGTGCGTTTTTCTTTGTGTGTCCCTGGGCGCCTTCAGAGAGGGCCTTCTCCTTCGCGCTTCCTCCCTCCCCCCCCTCCGCCCTCACCGCTCGCCGCCGAAGGAGGAGGAGGCCGCGAGCGAGCGGCGGAGCATGCTCTGACCGCGAAGAGACCTGGAGCGCGCGCGTGCCAGGGGGCTCCTCCTCCTGCTCCCCCGCTTGCACGGTGGCATGCAGTGGAGGCCCACGCCAAGAACCCCCTTGCTTACCTCCAGCGGTTCCCTGGGTTTCTGCGGTTTCGATTGTGTTGCCCTGGAGAGCGTGACGCTCCCACACCAAAAGTCAATGCACGTCCTGGGGTCTCGGGGTTGGGTTTGTTGGGGAAGGTTTCTTGTGGTCGGGCCCTTCTTGTAATTTGCCCTAACGGCACCCCCGTTTAGGCCTTTCCGCTAGCGCAGACTACCCCAGCCTCGCCGCCGACGCAAAACGTGCGAGCCAGGGGGCGCAGACTTGCGCGGGCAGCGACGCGAGGCCGACGCAAGAGACGAGAGACTCGGCGGCGAGCGAGGGGGGGAAGTTTCGGATTCGAGGTTTTCGGGCGGTTTCGTCGGCTCTCGGCGGCTTTCTGGCCTGGGGATGCTTGCCAGCAGCTGCGCCTCGCCGAGGGCGTTTTGGGGGTGCCCGGATCTTCCAGAGAGGCCGCCGGAGACCCGAGTTATGACACAAAAACCACATTCGACGACGAGCAAGGGGGGGAAGTGAGAAGGAGAAGGCCTTCTCATCAGGCGGCGGGACTTCTCAGAAGCCCCCGCGCCTTCTGAGAAGTGCCCCGTGTCTTCGGGGAAGGCTCAGGAAGCCTCTTCGAAGGCAGGGGGACGTCCGAGCCTTCTGAGACTCGAGGGAGGAAAAACCACCCAGACCGGATAACTGGTGTTTGCAAAACGGCCTTGGGCGTTTATTGAAAAGCTCTGCCCTGTTCGATTCCTTCTGTGGGCGCGTTTACTGAGCGGCTTCGCGTGTCGGGCGATCACTATGGGGGCCGATTTCACGCCCTCTAGAGGCCTTCTCCTTCTCACTTTCCCCCTGGGCTCGCCGCAGGGAGAGAGAGAGAGAGAGAGAGAGAGAGAGAGAGACGAGAGGCCCGGCGCGCAAGCCGGGGCGTCCGCCGCGCGCGGGCGCGCGGCTCTCTGGACATCGACGCCAGGCAGTCGTGGAAGCTCTTCCGGACCTCGGGGGAGAAGAGGCTGAGGCTGTAGCGCGGCACCATCGGTGGCAAGTACTTCGGGGATAGGCATCGGGGGGGACGCATCGACCCCCAATCGCTTATTGATCGCCGATAGGGACCCGACGGCCCCAACCTGCACAGGGAGGTGCGGATGAACTATCGGGGGCCTATCGCCGATCTATCGGCGACGTACCGCCGATTCCAGGTCGATGCATCCCCCTATGCCACTCCCCCCTATCGCTGCCCCTCACACAAGCGTTCGAGGGTCCGCGCGGTCGTCTGCGGAGGCAAGATGTCGTAAGCATCCCCCTCGCCGATCCACGATGCAGGCGACTCGGCGGGCGGCGGAGATAGGGTTGGGACGCTCGTCGACCACGTGGCGAAACCCAAACCCTGCTCCTGCCTCCCATCGGCTTAGGAAAATCGAGGGTTGGTGGGGGTAGGGTCAAGTCGGGCCTGTCTCTCTACAGGGGGAATATTCAAAAATAGTATAAAAATACTCTGGGGACGATCTTCTACTATTTTTGAACATTGTTGGGGTCATTTTTTGGGGTATTTTTCATTCTCCTTCCAAAATCCGCCTGTAGGGGGACATGCCCGACCTAAGGGTTGGGGGCAGGGCCCGGCTGTGCGTTGGTTTCGCTTGGACGTGTGCACTTTTTCTCGGCGGGGATCATTACGGAGCATCCTGGACCATCCTGCGAAAAAACCACGCACGAAACCGAAGAAAGCGCAGGGAGTGGACGTCCGAGCGATGGCCAGGTGCTGGACCCTCCCCATTCCCGTGGCGCGGAGCGCGCCGGGGGCATCGCTGGAGGCGCCGCTGGAGGGGGGAGCCCAGCGCCGATCCAAGAAGTCTGCGCGGAGCTCTGAGGGTTAGTGTGTTTGCCGGTGTTGGATGTTCGTGCTACTTTTTGTCTTCCTCTTCTTCTTCTTCTTCTCATTATTATCATCCTTCAGATATTAGTTTTCTTCCTCTTCTTCTTCTCCTATTCCTCTTCCTTCCTCTTCCTCTTCCCCTTCTTCTCCTTCTCATTATCATTATTGTCCGTAAGGGCTTCGCCCCCTGCCGCCGGCCCCCTCTCTCGGAGAATGGGCCATGGAAGAGCGAAGTCATGAGGCTTTGGCTTCACCGTAAAGCAGCGTCGGAACTTCATGCGAAGACGAAGGGTAATTGGCTAGACGAATGGAGATTGCGAGTCTAGTGTTGTACTCGCTGTTGTATGCATTTCAAAAATGTGGCAAATCCCATGTGTTTTTGCACCCTGACCCCGCCGATCTGCATGAGGGGTGCCACCGAATCTCAGAAATGTAGCAAATCCTTTATGTTTTCGGACCCTGACCCCGCCGATCTGCGTGAGGGGTGCCAGCAAATTTCAGAAATGTGGCAAATCCCTAAGGTTTTCGGACCCTGACCCCGCCGATCCGTGTGAGGGGTGCCATCGAATTTCAGAAATGTTGCAAATCCCATGGGTTTTCGGACCCTGACCCTACGGATCTGCGTGAGAGGTGTCGCCGAATTTCAGAAATGTGGCAAATCCCATGTGTTTTTGGACCCTGACCCTACTGATCTGCGTGAGGGGTGCCACCGAATTTCAGAAATGTGGAACATCCCTTCTGTTTTTGGACCCTGACCCCGCCGATCTGCGTGAGGGGTGCCACCGAATTTCAGAAATGTGGCAAATCATTTGTGTTTTTGGACCCTGACCCCGCCGATCTGCGTGTGGGGTGCCACCGAATTTCAGACATGTGGCAAATCCCGTGTGTTTTTTCACCCTGACCCCGCCGATCTGCTCGAGGGGTGTCACCGAATTTCAGAAATGTGGCACGTTCCTTATGTTTTTGGACTCCGACCCCGCCGATCTGCGTGAGGGGTGCCAGCAAATTTCAGACATGTTGCAAATCCCTTGTGTTTTTGCACCCTGACCCCGCCGATCTCGTGAGGGATGCTGTGTTTTTGGACCCTGACCCGCCGATCTGCGTGAGGGGTATCAATTTTTACCCACCCCAGCAATTCAGACAACACGCTCAGGGCGTGGTAAAAATGCCCGTTTTGGGCCTCCCCCCTTCGCGCGGTCCATCAACAAGGAACAGTAAGCAGCAAGAAGCATAACTGTAACAAGGCACAGTAAGCAGCAAGAAGCAGAACTGTAACAGTGGAAACTGGAAGCTGCAACTGGTACAGGAAACTGCGAACCTTAGGTCTACGCCTGGTGGCCCCACAAGGGGGACGGCGGAATATTATGTTTCTTATTATTTATCTTCTTATTCCTCTTCCTCTTCTTCTCCTTCCTCTTATTATTAGTTTTCTTCGTTATCTTCTTCTTCTTCTATTAGCGTGTCGCGCCGCCAGCTCTGTTTGCGCAGCGCTTCCTTCATACAGGATCATCGACGCGGACGAGTCGGGCGCGGTCTCCCTCGAGGAGTTCGTGGGGGGCTGCCTGCAGCTGCGGGGCCCAGCCACGCGCGTGGACGTGGAGGCGCTGAAGTGGGATATCGGGGGCAACACTGGGGGGGGGGATGCAGAAGGGATTGCGTACCCCTGAGATCCTGGCGACTCAATTTTTTCGAGCCGGGCGTTTTCGCCTTTTTTTCGGGCCCTGGGACCCCCACGGATCGATACGGCTCGAAAAATTGGGCAGAAAGATGCGGTCCGGGGCTCCGAGCGCAGATTTTCACGATGTTGCAATTTTTTCGCTGCGTCGGATCTCAGGGACTCAGCTCGAAGAAGTAAAAAAGCATGCGCCAAACTTTCTGCTCTGCGCGCCGATTTTTCTTGCATCGGCGCCGAAGCCCCCTGGCGGTGCCTCCGGCGCCGCCCCTGTCGCGTTCCGCGCGCCAGGGAGGGGGGTCTAGCGCCGATCCAAGACATCCGCGTGGAGCTCCGACAGTATGTGTATTAGCAGTTGTTATTGTCTTCTTCCTCTTCCTCTTCTTCTTCTTGTTCTTGTTCGTCTCCTTATTCGTCTTCTTCAATGAGCGTGTCGCGCCGCCAGTTCTGTCCCACCTCGCCTCGGCGCGACACGTTAACAACGTCCCAGTTGCCAGGCGTCAGCGTCCCGAGATGTCGCCAGGGCCGCCGCCGCGACACGCTAAGCCACGGTTCCCGAACTTAGGCTCAGGGGGGAACGCATCGACCCCCGATCGCCCATCGGTCGCCGATAGGGGCCTGAAGGCACACTCCGCCCAGGAGCACGCGGATATGCTACTGGCTGCCTGTCACCGATCTGTCGGCGAGGTGTCGCCGATTCCAGATGGGTGTTGCCTCCCATGAGCCAGGCCCTCTCCTCGCTGTCCCTCAGGAGATCAGGCACGCGGAAAAGCTGGCCCGCGAGGTGGCGAAGGCAGGGGGGCTTGTCGGAAGGGCTTGCCCCCCGTGGAGAGAAGGAGGGGGAGGACGACGATCGACGACGACGACGACGACGAGGATCGACGACGAGGGTCGACGAGGATCGAAGGGAGACGATGACGAGGACGACGGCGAGGAGCGAGGGAGGGGCTGGTCGAGACAGCGGAGGCCCGCCCTGGCGTTCCTGCCGTCCTCTTCGTGAGGCTCCTCGTCGCCGCGGCCCAGCTTCTGTCGCCCCGCAGAAAGCAAGCGAGGCGGGAGGCGTACCTTTGCGTCGGACCTGTCCCCCTACAGGGGGAATGTGCAAAAAGAGCAAAACAAATGGCCCGGGGACGAGTTTTTGAGTATTTGTCGTTGACTCTTGTTGGGAATGTTTGGCGTTGTTTTATTTTCTCGCCCAAAATCCGCCTGTAGGGGGACATGCCCGACATAAATGCACCTCCCGAGTTTTTGAGCATGTTCGTTGCCTCTTGTTGGGCATTTTTGGCGTGTTTTTTTCATGTTTCGACCCGACGCCGCCTGTAGGGGGAGACCTGCCCGACCTGAATGTACCTCCGGAGGGAGTCCGGGGACCGATGGCGAGCGGGCTTGTGCAGGGCGGGAGGGCCGCTGGTGCCTCGATCGGCCCTCCTACAGGAGGAGGAGGAGGAGGGAGGAAGAGAAGGAGGAGGAGGAGGAGGAGGAGGAGGGGGAGGAGGAGGGGGAGGGGCGGGGAAGTGATGGCGGTTGTCTCTGCTGCTGCTGCTCTCAGTTTGTCCCCCTGCATTTGCCGCGGGCGTGCGGCGACGGACGCTGCAAACTCATGCTGATAGCGTGGGTCGGTTGGCCGGGGGAGCGAGGAGGGGGAGGATGATGACGAAGCATCAACCCACGAAGCATCAACAACGTTGCAATACAATCTCCCGTCCCAATTCCACTCACAGGTTCCCACGAGTCCTCCTTTTTACTGTGTAGAAGAAGCGCAGGCTTGAAAGACCAGCACCTCTATAGCTCTGACATTCAGGCGAGACCCTGTTTTGAGGAGGAGGTGGTGTCCACCTTGTTATGGAGGAGCACATGACGCGAAAAGGCATGGCAGTACAGACCAGTAAGGTGTTCAGCGAGATCCCCGTTTACAAAAGACCACCCACACGTGTGCAAGTGTTGCGCAAGCTTGCACTTCCGATCGTGGACTTAAAAAAGTTTCGAGCGAGGGTCCCTACTCTGACAAAGGACAACCCTCACCCCGTGCAGCTGCTACATCGGCCCAAGTTGTTGCATTCAGGCGTGAAGAAGTTTCACACGACAGCCCCAGTTTGAGAAGGAACCGTCCTTCATCCCTGCCGCTGGTGCAAACCGTTCACGGAAGCGCGCGTTGCTAAAGCGAGATCCCCACGTTGACAATAAACCCCTCCCCCCGTGTAATTGTTGTAGCCATCAAGCTTCAGGATCATGAGTGGTGGGGAAGAATCAGGCCAAACGAGCAGCCCGCCCTACCGACACGTCTGGGGGTGCAAAAGGGAGGAGTTATCCGTAAGGAAGAAGGATGGAGGAGGAGGAAGAGGAGGAGGAGGAGGAGGAGGAGGAGGAGGAGGAGGAGGATGGGGGAGGAGGAGGAGGAGGAGAAGGGGGAGGAGGGGAGGAGGAGGAGGAGGAGGAGGAGGGAGAGGAGGAGGAGGAGGAGGAGGAGGAGGAGGAGGAGGAGGAGGAGGAGGAGGAGAGGAGGAGGAGGAGGAGGAGGAGGAGGAGGAGGAGGAGGAGGAGGAGGAGGAGGAGGGTAGGAGGAGGGGGGGGGGGGGGAGGAGGAGGAGGAGGAGGAGGAGGAGGAGGAGGAGGAGGAGGAGGAGGAGGAGGAGGAGGAGGAGGAGGAGGAGGGAGGAGGAGAGGAGGAGGAGGAGGAGGAGGAGGAGGAGGGAGAGAGAGGAGGGGGAGGAGGAGGATGAGGAGAGGAGGGAGGAGGAGGAGGAGCAGGGAGGAGGAGGAGGAGGAGGGGGATGAGGAGGAGGAGGAGAGGAGGAGGGAGGAGGAGGAGGAGGTGGAGGAGGAGGAGGAGGGATTTCCACCTGGAGAGGCAGTTGTACATGTGACGCCTCGAAGGGGCGGGGGGGGGCCTTCCTTCGGAAGCTCCGCCCCCTCCACCACCCCGAGGACGAGGAGGAGGAGATGGGGGAGGGATGCCGACGAGGAGCAAGGGAGGGGGAGGGTGAGGATGGCGACGAGGAGGAGGGGGAGGGGAAGAGCGAGAGAGAGAGAGAGAAAGAAAGAAAGAAAGAGAGAGCGAGAGAGACAGATAGAGAGAAAAGAGAAGAGCGCGACGAGGAGCTGGTGGGAGGAGAGAAGGAGGAGGAGGAGGAGGAGGAGGAGGAGGAGGAGGAGGAGGAGGAGCATGTCGCTGGGCGTTTCGTCCGTCCACGTCGTGGCAGGCGCCGGCTGTGCGCCCCGCGCGGCCCTCGGCGGCGGGGCGCTCTCGGCGGGTCCTCGGCCCCTGGCCGTTGGGGGGCTCCTGTACCAGGCGGCCGAGGAGTGGCTGAGGGCGGGGGGGGGGCAGTCTCCTCCCTGGCCCCGCGGCTCGACGCAGGGCTGGTCCTCCTCACAGTCCCGCCATTGTCGCATCCTCTAACGGCGGCCTGATCCCAGCGCCGTAGCCGGTCGCGTCGGGCTCGCCTGCTTCACCTCCAGCTTTCTCGCATCCCTTGCGCGCCTCCGCAAGGACGAGCCTCTTTCCCTCCAGGAGGAACGCCTTCCTGAAGTGGCAGGAGGCCATGTCTGCTCCCACGACTCGAGGTCGTCTCCATCTCGCTCTAGCTGCCGTGCCACGTCCGCCAAGTGTACTCCAAACGTGTGGTCGCACTGGCTGACGAGCCACCTTTCGACGTCCGCCGCCTCCTGGGCCTCGCACGCCCTGATCGCTGTGCTGTAGCCTGTAGCTGAGCTCGTCGGGCTCCAACGTCTCCTCCGACTTCTCGCGCTCGTTGCTCTCAGGGCTGTAGCTAGGGATGGGCTCCTCCTTGGACCTCCTCTTCAAGATCCGCTGCGACTTCTTGACCCAGGGTGGCGTCTAGGGATAATGGGCTCTAGCTTCGCCTTCCTCTTATGTCCTGATCGCAGCGCTGTAGCTGCTCGTATTGGGCTCGGCCTCTCGGCCTTCACCTCCCACTTCTCGCACGCGCTGGTCCCTCCCAGGGTTGTGACTAGGGGTGCCAGCGTCGGGCTCTATGTCTTCGCCGCCTGCCAGCCCCTCCCAGGCGATCTCAGCACAGGCCCTCCACATAGCCCTGCTAGTGTAGTTGGGCCCTAGCTTCGCCTCTTGCGTCTCAGCCTTCTCGCGTGGGTCGTC